TGTATGAATCTAAGCACTTTTCATTCGTGATACATGACAAAAGATGTCATTGAGCAACTGATAGGTCGTTTGGTGCGGGCCACAGCGTAAAACTGACTGATGTAGATGCATCTGTTCTACTAATTTGAGATCGCAAAATATTCTCTTGTTTATATCCAAAAAGGACATGCTTGAGAAAAGTATTGTTTGCTATTTTATCTTCTTCAGCCCTTTTAATAGATAACATGGCTTCTTCTATAAATATTTAACCAGCGACAGTGATTTTGTGCTCCAAAAGTAATACTCTTGAAGTCATGCAAATTAGGGTAAGGCCTGGAAAAGCTCTGACTGGAAATGGTATTCTTCCCCAAGTGTCTTGTTCTAATGGTAGACATATCCGATAAGGCAGTTTCCACTGCCAGAAAACCAGCCTTATTATTTTCTAGATGTCTTAATCCAACAGAAATAAAGTGTTACACCCTTGAACTTATAAATAAATAAATTTATTCTCATAGTACAGTACATGAGGGACGCCAGTTTACAGGCATCATCAAATTGTTACAGAAATAGAACCATATAATTCAGTCACAATTTACAGCCAGTAGCAAGATATGCTTTACATGTTCGATGGAGATTATACATACACTTGATAAATGTTAATCCCAGTAGTATAAAACAGCCTTTTCACTTCTTTACCATCATTTCTGTGCACAGTTGGAAAAATCTGCTAGATTTTCAGTGGGTGCAACACATCAGGAAATACAGAAGTATTGTCTTCGCATTAACAAAAAAACCAGGTCTTTGGTGGATGGATTATGAGCGCCTGGACCTGTACGTGATGCTGGCATTAGAAGTTGGGAAAAATTACCAGACAGCATGGATAAGCAGAGGCATCGTGGATGAAAATGTACATCTAAGTTGTGCAGTCTTTGCAAAGATTCGTGGATGAATTATACGAACTGCTGTTTGCCTGGATATAGATACTCATAAAAACAATATCCAGGCAGTGTTGCGAAAACTGCAAGGCGACGCCATGCTAATCAGACAGAGCAAGTTAGTCTTTGGGGGCAAAAAACAACAGAATTCCTAGAACAAATCATTGACAACCTTTTAGATTGCGTTAACGCCCAAAGACGTGGACACAATCAGACACCATCCACCGCTTACTTCACTCACCCAAGTCCCAATTTTTCAAGGGTTGGTTAACTTCTAACAGCATTCTATTCCTGATTGCACTCAGTAGACTTTATCACTGTCCCGCTGCACCTCTGTATGAATCTAAGCACTTTTCATTCGTGATACATGACAAAAGATGTCATTGAGCAACTGATAGGTCGTTTGGTGCGGGCCACAGCGTAAAACTGACTGATGTAGATGCATCTGTTCTACTAATTTGAGATCGCAAAATATTCTCTTGTTTATATCCAAAAAGGACATGCTTGAGAAAAGTATTGTTTGCTATTTTATCTTCTTCAGCCCTTTTAATAGATAACATGGCTTCTTCTATAAATATTTAACCAGCGACAGTGATTTTGTGCTCCAAAAGTAATACTCTTGAAGTCATGCAAATTAGGGTAAGGCCTGGAAAAGCTCTGACTGGAAATGGTATTCTTCCCCAAGTGTCTTGTTCTAATGGTAGACATATCCGATAAGGCAGTTTCCACTGCCAGAAAACCAGCCTTATTATTTTCTAGATGTCTTAATCCAACAGAAATAAAGTGTTACACCCTTGAACTTATAAATAAATAAATTTATTCTCATAGTACAGTACATGAGGGGACGCCAGTTTACAGGCATCATCAAATTGTTACAGAAATAGAACCATATAATTCAGTCACAATTTACAGCCAGTAGCAAGATATGCTTTACATGTTCGATGGAGATTATACATACACTTGATAAATGTTAATCCCAGTAGTATAAAACAGCCTTTTCACTTCTTTACCATCATTTCTGTGCACAGTTGGAAAAATCTGCTAGATTTTCAGTGAGTGCAACACATCAGGAAATACAGAAGTATTGTCTTCGCATTAACAAAAAAACCAGGTCTTTGGTGGATGGATTATGAGCGCCTGGACCTGTACGTGATGCTGGCATTAGAAGTTGGGAAAAATTACCAGACAGCATGGATAAGCAGAGGCATCGTGGATGAAAATGTACATCTAAGTTGTGCAGTCTTTGCAAAGATTCGTGGATGAATTATACGAACTGCTGTTTGCCTGGATATAGATACTCATAAAAACAATATCCAGGCAGTGTTGCGAAAACTGCAAGGCGACGCCATGCTAATCAGACAGAGCAAGTTAGTCTTTGGGGGCAAAAACAACAGAATTCCTAGAACAAATCATTGACAACCTTTTAGATTGCGTTAACGCCCAAAGACGTGGA